GGATCCCTGGAAGTGTCCAAGGCCAGGTTGGAGCAACCTGTGCTAGTGGAAGGTGTCCCTGGTGGAACTGGATGGTCTTTAAGGTCCCTTCCCACCCAAACCATTCCATGATTCCATTAAATACTCTGCTCATGCTCTTACACTTTTCTAATGACTAAAGCTTGGTAGAAATGCTTGGGAATAAAAGGCAAACCTGGAACTCTTGACATAGAGGGTTTTTTTCCTGAATTTCCTGCTGACTCTTCCTACAGACCTGAGTTGGCCATTCATGGAAGGAGAAAGTGCCTTGGGCTTCCTCAGGGGGAAAAGGAGCACAAAGCTGTGGATTTATTAACTACAAATGCTTTGGAATTGTCCTCAGATGGGTCTTGGGAACCTAAGGAGCAACTGTGTCCTATAAACCTGTTGGTGATGGAGAGAGAGGGTGCCAAGACATTCCTGTGGATTGGAAGCTGTGAGGGTGGGGAGGCCCTGGCAGTGGTTTCCCAGAGAAGCTGTGGCTGCCCCTGGATCCCTGGAAGTGTCCCAAGGCCAGGTTGGAGCAACCTGGGCTAGTGGAAGGTGTCCCTGCCCATGGCAGAGGGTTGGAACAAGAGGATCTTTAAGGACCCTTTCAACCCAAACCATTCCATGACTCTATGATTTGGTTGGGAGTGGGTTGAATCCCAGTGGATCTCGTTTCTGGGGTTCCTGGTTTTGCACATCCCTCCCAAGGATTCAGGGAGGGTGTCCCCTCAGTCAGTGTCCTCTGGCATGTGGGTCTGAGGTGCTGAATAATTGCAGGAGGGTGTTTGGCTCCTGTTCTGAGGTGGAGGGAAAGGAGGGATGAAGCTCCTATGAGGAAAGGGTGAGATAATTAATATTGTGGATTGGAAGCTGTGAGGGTGGGGAGGCCCTGGCAGAGGTTTCCCAGAGAAACTGTGGTTACCCCTGGATCCCTGGAAGTGTCCAAGGTCAGGTTGGAGCAACCTGGGCTAGTGGAAGGTGTCCCTGCCCATGGGTTTAGAGCTGCTAAGAATTAAACCTCCGAATTAAACCTCAGAATTTCCCTCCTAAATTCAGGACCCTGAATTACCCCACCTCTATTTCCTTGGTGCCAAATGCTCCCCGTTGCCTTTCCCTCTCTGCACCCCCCCTTGTTTTCTTCCACTCTCTTTGCTGTATTTTTCCACTCCTTGTGCTTTCTCACTTCTTCAGGAAGTTCAAGGAGTTGTAGCTCTAAATTTGCACTGCAAACTCCTGTGGATCATATGCCACCCGGCTCATTTTTGGAAGGATGACACATAACAGGCACAATAAAACATGTGAAAGGCTCGGGGAGATGAGTTTAGAGCAACTTCTGTGCTTGCTTTCAGCTGTGGGAGTTGCTCTGTGTTACTTGAGGCCGTTGAACTGGCACGTGGTTTAGGGAAGGGATGTCTTGGGATCATCCCTGTGCTTGGAACAGCTCTGCTTCCATGTCCTTCTGTTCTCCCACAAGCCCTTCTTGTCCATCTCCAGGAAATTCAGGCAGCCAAATAAACTGATTGACAGGTTTAACATAGATAAGGGCACCAAAAAGTGGAATAATGACCCGGCCTTGGCTGGAATAGTTCGCTGCTGGAATGGCATCTGGGATGTGGAAAGGCTGGAAAATCCTGGTGTGGAATTCTTGTTTATTTAGAGGAATGTGTTTGGTTGATTTTTTTATTGCCAAATCCCGGCTAGTTGATGAGGATAAAAGCATCCAGGGAGCTGTGTTATTAATGGAATACACTCTTGCTGCTTCCACAGTTGTTGCAATCTCTAGGAAAAATAAATAAAGCCTAAATTTTGTTGCTTTTTTTTTAGAAAAAAATGAGCTTATCTGGCCCATCTCCCTGGCAGCACATTTATCTCAGATTTGCACCTCAATGGAAGTGCTGGGATTTTAAATGACACTTAAACTGAGAAAATTGTGTCCACGCTTAAAATCCTGGAATCCTTGAGGTTGGAAAAGATCTTTAAGGTCATCAAGTCCAACCATCAGCCAGCACCCCTGTGTTCACCACTAAACCATGTCCTCAAGTGCCACACCCACAAGGTTTTGGAAGGCTTCCAGGGATGGGAACTCCACCACATCCCTGTTCCAGTGCTTGATAACCATTTCCATGAAGAAATTTTTCCTAATATCCCAACTAAACCTTCTCTGGTGGAAGTGGAGGCCACTTAAGAGGTTCCCTCGTGCTTCCTGGCATGGAGTGTGCAGGATAGTGTGGAATTTTGTGTCAGGGATGGGAATAACTGTGATACCTGTTTAATTAGTGCATGTCCAAGTGAGGGGAAGCTCAGTTCAGGTGGGTCATTCCCTGAATTTGCTCCAGGGCAGCACCAGTTGTGGTTTTTGGATCAATTCTGACATTGATAAATTGCTGTCAGTGGTAACTTCAGGTTTTCCCACATTTATTCCCAGTTTTTCTCTTTATACTCTGAGAGTGGCAGGATTTCTGCATGTCTGGGGGGTGGTTTTCTATTCCCTTTTTTGGAGTGTGGCCTTTAATCTGGAGATATTTGCATTTCTTCTCTTCCAAACCTCTTCCCCTCACCCCAGGCAGGTGAGGTGCTGCAGAGATCCACTGCCAGCACTTGGGAGCTTCTGTTGGAATTAGAAAAGGCTTGGAAGCAAAAGTGCTGTCCATCCCTCCCTGCTGATCCCTTCATGTGGGATTTCAGAATGTAGGGAAGCTCCACATGTACTGCCATCCCAAAAAAACCCTTTGGCCTGGGCTGATCCCCCAGCGTGGGCTGAAACCTCAGCTGAGACCCCTCTGCAGAGCTGCTCCAGCCCTGGGAACAACAGCACAAGGACGTGGAGCTGCTGGAGAGAGTCCAGAGGAGGCCCCAGAGCTGCTGCCAGGGCTGGAGCCCCTCTGCTCTGGAGCCAGGCTGGGAGAGCTGGGGGGGTTCCCCTGGAGAAGAGAAGGCTCCAGGGAGAGCTGAGAGCCCCTGGCAGAGCCTAAAGGGGCTCCAGGAGAGCTGGAGAGGGACTGGGGACAAGGCATGGAGGGAAAGCACAAGAGGGAATGGCTTCCCAGTGCCGGAGGGCAGGGATAGATGGGATATTGGGAAGGAATTGCTGGCTGGGAGGGTGGGGAGACCCTGTCCCAGGTTGGGCAGAGAAGCTGTGGCTGCCCCTGGAACCCTGGAAGTGTCCAAGGCCAGGTTGGAGCACCCTGGGCTAGTGGAAGGTGTCCCTGCCCATGGCAGGGGGTGGAACTGGATGGTCTTTAAGATCCCTTCCCACCCAAACCATTCCACAGTTCCATGTTTGTAACAACCATCAGCAAAACCCACATGAGCTGATTTGTCACTGAAATGATGATAAATGTTTAATTAGTCCCTCAGCAGATGAATCCCATCCCTTCCTGATGACAGGCTGCATTACTGACAGCTCTCCTCTTCCTCGGAATTCTCCCATCCAGATTTTGGAGAGGGTGGGAAGTTTTCCACACAACCTCTGTGAGCTGTTCTCTGTTTTCCAGGATCCCTGGGACTGTGGTTTGGGAGCTGCCTCTGAGTGTCTCCATAACCAGGATCAGGACACAGAGCATTTCAAAGCTCCAGGATTCCCAAGTGTCAGACCCCCCCAGCCCACCAGGACTCGGGAGCTTTCAGAGCCCAGCTCAGGAGAGGCTGTGCTGTTCCACAGATCCCATCCCTCCGATCGCTGCCTGCTGAGGGACATGCAACTGAAATCCTGGAATGCTGCTCCTGGAATGCCTGTGTGCAACCAACACCCAACAGCTGCACCAGGCCATTCCCACAGCATGGCTGAACTTTACCCACCACTGGAATGGGATCCCTGTGCAACGGGGTCTGAGGTACAAACAGAATTCCTTGTGCCGGCTCCGAAGGTGCTGCCGGTGGAGAAGAGCTCGGAAGGGATGGGAAAGCCGAGCACTTCCATCACCTTCTCATCCCAGGGATGCCTCCAGTCCCCACTGGGTTCCCAGGCACTGGGCAGCAGCCTCTCCAGGGATGGGTTTGATGGGATCACACCTTTGGATGTCGACTCTGGTGCCACTGGGGAACAGAGCCATGACACACAACACTGGGAAGGATCTGGGACTTGTCCTGCAAGTCCAGTGCTGGCTGGCTCCATGTTCCAGGAGGTTAATCCTGCAGATCAAGGCAGGGTTCATCCCATCTCTGCTGACAGGGACAGAGCTGGAGTTTATCAGGACACAGACTCTTCGTCAGCTCAGGATTCTGGGAGTGTCCATGCTGGGAAAAGACAGACTCCCAGCGCAGAAAAATGTGATTTTTTGGCCCAGGATGTGGGTGAGTTGGGCAGGCAGAGGGACATGGGGTTCAGTCAGGAAAGAAATCCATTCATTGAACCCCATTCCCTGAGCTCTTCCCAGCAGGAGAAGAGCAGCTCTGACCACATCCAGCTCAGTGAGAGCTTGGAAAGTTCAGCTCCAGCAGAACAAATGGATTTGCTCCAGGGTCGGAGCGAGCTGGGAGAAGAGAGGAAAAGTCCTGCTGAACCACCTCTCATTCCAACAGAGGTTGGGAGGGACCAAGTGGAGGCATCTCACCATTCACCCCCAGAGGAGGTTTTATCCACCACATCTGCAGCTCCCCCTTCACCAACCAAGAAATTCCTGTCCTGTGTCCACATCACCCTCTCCTCCAAGGTCCGTCACGTGGAGCTGCCGAACGTGGACGCGGAAAACGGGGTGAAAGTGGGGGATAAACCCGAAGTTCAGGCTCAATTGAAAGCTCCAGAAGATTTAAGAGAAGCTGCTCCTGAATTCCCACCTGCTGACCTTATTCCAGAAGGTCCAAGATCACCTTTCCCAGTGGCTTCAGCAGATCCCAGCCGGGTGTTTCCCTCTGGGCAAGAGCTGGTGCAGCAAAGCAGTGAGAGACCTCAAGTCCCTGCTCTGGGATCAGGGGGGTTTATTCCCAAGGATCTCTCCAGCTCTGTGCTTCCTACAAAACCTGGGAGGAGGACTTCAGATGCTGCCACTCAGATCACCACAGAAGGTCCTGAAAAAACCACCTTTTCAGCAGAAATTTATGTTCATCCCCAAGAGGATGAAGGTGCTGCCCAGAAACCACCTGAACTTCCCAAAGTTACATCCCATAACGAGATTCCCCCCTTCCCAAGGCAACCTGGTGAGCAAATTCCTGCCTTTTTTATATATATATACTTTAATCTACTCAAGTTCAAGACATTTATAGGTATTAAAAACCAAAAATAAACTCATTTTTTGGTGGAAGTAACGTTCTTGAGATATTTTGGATATATAAAGTTGCTCGTATGGGGGGAAAAATCCAACCCTTAAACTTGGGTTTTTCAGTTTTGTGGGAAGGGATTTGTATGGATAAAGTTGTGATTCAGATCAGGTTTATCTAGAACTGAGTTTAGTGTGTCCTATAACCTCAGTTTTTTAATTAAATCTGATTTAGTGATTAAATTCTCTGACGTTTGTGTGGAGATAATTTGATTTGAATCACTGCTTGGAGTTTATCAAGAGATAAATCTAATTACTGGTTTGCTCTCTAGTCAAGGTAATACAAAAAATAAGAAGAAAATATGCACAGTCCTGCTTTTAATAAAAAATAGAAAAATAATAGAACAATTTTAATAAAAGAATTAATAAAATAGAAAAATATGCAGCGTTTTTAATCCCTGTGGACAGAGGAATGTGGATGTTGCTCAGTGGTTTTCCACACCAGTGGGAGCTGAGACTGATGTCTCAGCACATGGATTTGTCTCTCAAGTCAATAAAATCAATGCTCCTTTAAATTTATTTCCTCAACCATGGATCAACTGGGAGCTGTGTGGGTACAGGAGGTATTTTTTTAAATCACAAATTTAATATTGAACAGGTAAGAAAGCTGTTTTTTTCGAGGTTAGTGATGGTCAACCTCCTACCTTTGAGTGGGTATTAAATAATTCAATTAATTAGATAATTCAATGAAATAATTTCTCCCCACAGCTCAGCCCTTGCTGGTGCCATACAAACCTTCTGGAAGCACTGGGATGTATTATGTTCCTTTCCTAAAAGGAGGAGCCAAAATGCCTCCAGTTGAGTCAGAAACCAGTGGTGGGAGCTCTCACTCAGGTACTTATTTATCTTGGATTTTCCATGTGTCTGTAATCCGTGGATATAACCCCAAGGTGCACAATTCCTGCCTGCTTTGGTTCCCATTCCTTGGATGAAAGGGATGTTATTGCTCCATTCTGGCAGTAGGGAAAAAAACAACCAACAAAGCTTAATATTTTAGCTTGATAATCCTTTCTTTTCCTCTGGGAATTACTGCTCAGTTTGGATTCTTCCCAATCCCTGCCAGTTCTCCCGGATCACTTGGGCATGACAGGTTTTATTTGTGAGTTGTTTTCGCTCAGAGCTTTTGAAATATCCAAAGTTATTTGATCCAAATAATATTCAGAGTTCATCTTGGAGATGTCCAGTTCCTGAATTCCTGGAGCCCAAGGGAGTAGGCTGAGACAACATTCCAGCCACAAATCAGGATTGGGATGGTTCAGGTGTCTGTGCTCTTGATCTTTTCCAAGTTTATCTGGTGACACATGTCCAAAATGAGAGAAACAAATGTGATGCAAATCTGTTGTTTTGCAGAAATGAGGATGCCAGATATAAAAATGCCACATGCAAATGAAGCAGTGGAAGGTTCTAGGAAAGTGGAGGGCAGGATTACAAAATAAAACTTGTTTTTCCACCTCCCTGCTGCACTCGGGGTTTTCAACTTGGGAGCAGGAGAGGAAGGAATGGAGGGGAACAAATCCCGCCTGCTGGGATTGACAAGGATGAGGAATCAGGGGGAGCAATTTTAGGTTTCTAACATTATGAGACAGTGATAAAATCATGGAATTGTGGAATGGTTTGGTTTTAAAGACCACCTAATTCGCCTCCTGCCATAGGCAGGGACACCTTCCACTAGCCCAGGTTGCTCCAACCTGGCCTTGGACACTTCCAGGGATCCAGGGGCAGCCACAGCTTCTCTGGGCAACCTCTGCCAGGGCCTCCCCACCCTCACAGTCAGGAATTCCTTCCCAATAACCCACCTAAATTTCCCGTTTTCCACTATGAAACCATTCCCCCTTGACCTGTCCCTCCATCCCTTGTCCCAAATCTCTCTCCATCTTCCTTGTTGACCCTTCAGCCTCCTCTTCTCCAGGCTTGAAAAATCCCAATTCCCTGAGCCTTTCCTCTTAGGAACCATCCCCTTCCACTATCCCAGGTTGCTCCAAGCCCCATCCAACCAGGCCTTGGACACTTCCAAGGCTGGGGACTTCACAACCTCTGGGCAGTGATGTCAGGAAAGCTCTGCTGCTGCTCTCCTGAATTCCTGTCTCGGGGGTTACACAGACCTATTCCAGTCTCCCAGTTGTTCTCCATTGCCATTCTGAGCTGGGAAAACAGACATTTACATCAGGCAGTGGAAATGGATGGAATTTTCATGGGAGCAGGAGGGAGTCCGGACATTCCAAGTCCTGTGTCTGCTTCCAAGCAGACTTGTTACAACTCATTTTTTTTCTGTTCTTCTCTAAGTACAAAAGGTAAAATTTATCTGCTTCTCAGGGAAGAATTTTGTCTCCAAAACCAATGTGAGGCAATCCCTGCTGCTGCTGTGAGTCACTAGGGATCATCATGGAATTATGGAATGGCTGGGTGGGAATGCACCCATTGCATCCCACCCTCTGCCATGGGCAGGGACACCTTCCACTATCCCAGGTTGTTCCAAGCTCCATCCAAGCTGGCCTTGGACACTTCCAGGGATCAGGATTGTTGGTTAGGTGTGGAATTTCTGTCTCTTGTTTTTCCAGCTTCCTGTTTTTCCTCATCACTTTTGCTCTTTCTCTGCAGGGTCCAACGATGCTCCTCCTCCAAGGTTTCTGAGCCACGTGCCTGGTTTGAGGGATGAGAATCCTCCAGGAAGTGCAGCTCTCCAACAGAAAGAAAGATCCCACAGTAAGAGGAACAAGCCCAAGCTGGCCTGGGCTGAGGAGCAGAGGATACCCCTGGAAGACTCTGCAGGTACTTTAAGCGTGGTTTTAATTTCACATACATGAGAAAGAAATGGGAGCTAAACAATGACATTTCAGGATCCGTGATTTCTGATCCTGGGATATTCCTGATGGGCTGCCAGGAAGTACTAAATTTGACTCAGTTTTCTCTTCCTCATCTTTCTGCTTCTCCCTGACTCCCAAAATACAGGTAACACAGAGGGATTGTGGATTTTCCATTCCTGGAAGTGTCCAAGGCCAGGTTGGAGCAACCTGGGCTAGTGGGAGGTGTCCCTGCCCACAGCAGGGCTGGAACTGGATGATCCTTAAGATCCCTTCCAACCCAGACCATCCCATGATTCCATGAAATACTTGGCCATTAGTATTTGTCAGCATTCCAGTGTCTTCAGGGCTTATTGGAGCCCGTGTAAAAAATTCCAAGAATTCCCTGGTAAATAAAATCAGGGATGACTCCATGTTGGGATGGGGGTTGTGTTCCTGCCCACAGGTATCTGATGCCTTGTGATGTCCTGTCAGGGATCTCTGTCACCTTGGTGTTTGCCTGAATTTTAACTGGATTTTCTGCTCTCTGTTCCATCCTTCCATCCATTAACCTTACTGGATGATATTCCTGAGGGATGAAGGTCAGGATTTTCCTCTGGAGTGGCCACTTTATGTGTTGGGAATGCTGACAAAATGGAATTAGTCTGAGCTGACTGGTGGGTTTGACATTTTTATCTCATGACAGCAGCTCAAATTAGTCCTCATGGACACTCTTTTTGTACTAAACCTCAGTTTTGAGTGGCTGATAAAATTCCTGGAATCTGAGCAGGGATGAGGATTTTTATTCCTGGACAGAGAATTGCTGAGTGATTCCTCAAAGCAGCTTTTAATTCCTCAGTGATGATGTTTGTTGCCTGGCACAGCATTTTGATTTTAATTCTTTAATGACTTTGATCATTTTAATGCTTCTCTTCAAGGAGGGGTTTTTTCTTCAGAGCTTTCCTTTTCAGCGTGGAGGGATTTTAGTTTTTCCAAGGATAATTTTTATTTGCAGCAGAAAATTTCCAATAAGGCTGCAACACCAATAGCCTGGAGAAAAATGAAAGGGGGGATGAAGATGCTCCTATAAAATTAAGTAATGTTAATTTTCTGCATTTTTAATGATTAAAAAATATTTTACATTTTTCTTACTTGATGGTCTAAAAGCCCAGGTAAGAAAAGAACTCTAAGGAGAAATAATATTTGATTTAAACCAACCAGTGCAGTTGGAACTTAAAACAGGTTTTCAAAAGACTTGAATGTCTTAAATCTTCCCTGAACTTCTTCAACTGTATTTTTAGATGGTCTAATAAAAGATTACCTCAACCCACAGAGCTTGTCTAGAGCTTAAAATTATCCAAGTTATGTGTTGTTTTTTTTTTTTTTAAATAAAGTTTCTCTGTATAAACTTCTTTTTATTTTTTGCCTGTTTACATTCCTTCCAGTCGGTTGGGAACTTTGCAGAAGTCCAGGAATAGCAGAATTCTGCCTGGTATTCCCAAGCCTGAGCTCATTTGTCAGGGGGATTGTGGGGGAAGCTCTTACACAAGTCCATAAACACTGACCTTGTATGGGAAAACAAATTCCAGCCATTCCAGACTTGGTGGGATTGGGAATGGGAACGTTGTCCACGATCTTGACGTTGCACCGAAGTCTCTGTTGGGAAGAGAAGGGATTTTATAATTCACTCCCTTAGACAAAGAACATAAAACACCTTTTTAAACTTTATTTTTTTTTATATTTTATTAAAAATGACTTTTTTTGGAGCATAATGCTGTGTATTCCCAGAGAAGCTGTGGCTGCCCCATCCCTGGAAGTGTCCAAGGCTGAGTTGGAGCAACCTGGGATGGTGGAAGATGTCCCTACCCATGGCAGGAGGGTTGGAATTAGATGGTCTTTAAGTTCCCTTCCAACCCAACCCATTCCATGATTCTAAATAAACCCATTTAGTTTCTAAATAAACCCATTTAAAATGTGGCTCAGGGAAATTTCCTGAGGAGTGATGAGATTCCTCCTTTGGATTCTCTTGGATATAATATTCTCTTGTTGAATATTTTATATTCCATTCTATATTCTGCCATTGAAAATGATAAAAAAAAATCATTTATGTGCTTTTAACAATGCTGAAACCTAATTTCTAAGTTTGTTGCACTTCAGGAATGGTTCAGTGATCCTGCTATTAATCCTTTGGATCCGTTGGAAAGTTTTAGGATGAAAATCATCCCGTTTAAGACTTGATTACTCCTGGTAATCTATCTGCTTCCAGATCCTGGATCTGCTTCCTGGTCACCTGCAGATCTGGGATTTAGCAATCCCAGGGATGCTGGTGTGGATTTGACTGGATATCGTTCCCGAAATATCTCTGGGGAAGGATAAATACAATTATTATTGGAATTTTCCGGCGGTTTGTCCAGTTTAAATGCTGGAATTCTTTGGAATTTTTGGAATTCTTTGGGATTATTTGGTCTGGCTGAGTGTTAGTGGTAAACTGCTTCAATTTAATTAGTTTTAGACTTATTTAAAACCTGAGAATTCCAGGTGAAAACTGGAATTTTAAAGGAGAGAAAAGAATTCCTTCATTGAATTTGGCCATTGCCCTTGGAAGAAGGACTGAAAATATCCTTAAAGAGGGATTTGACATGGATTTGGTGTAAAAATTCCAGAGTTTTGGGGTTCTATAATAGCCTTTAATGCTAAAATATTCAGGAATAAATGAGATTTCTTTGCAAAGAAACAAAGAATTTAAGTGGTTTTTTTTCTCTTTTAGAACACAGAGACCATTCCAAACCTGGAAAATCCACTCATTCCACCTTCAAATCCACACGGTTCTACCTCCACCGTCCCGTGCCCACGTGTGACACCAGTGAGTTCTCCGAGGACAGTTCCGGAGTGGGAATTCCTCCCCCTTCCTCCAGCGGTGCCTGGAAAAAACCACACCGGCATCAACGGGTGTTCTCTGCCCATCACAGGAAAAGTGGGACAAGGGAGTTCTTTGCACTCACTGCAGAAGCAGATGAGAGTAAAAACGAGGATCTGAGCGTTGGGAATGAGACGTCGGGGACAGAGCGAGAAGCAGAACAAGGAGCAGTTGGGAATTCTGCTTTGCCACGGAGCCAAACAACTCTCCGGGATGGGAACGTGGAGGAACCACCAAGGCAGAGAACCCACTGCAGTGGGAGCTTGGATGAGCTGTGGGTTAAGTTTCTGGAGAGGCAGAGGAGGCACCAGCAACGCGGTTTGAGGAGTACCGGGGAGCTGTCCCTGGTGGAACGCCTGGATCGGCTGGCCAGGGTCCTGCAGAACCCCATCCAGCACACCCTGATCCCGGCAAAAGCCGGGAGGAACGTTCCCGAAAGGAAGATCAGGGGAAGGGAGCAGACAAAAACAGGATTGGGAGAGAACAACGCATCCGGGAGCGTTGTCGGAGAAAGAGCGCGGGACGACACCGGGATGGGAGACACAACCATCCTGGAGGAGCAGCAGCACCGTTGGGAATCTCCCAGCGACAGTTCCTCGGAGACGAGGCTGAGCGGAGAGCACGGCACCACCACCACCACCACCACTTCCAGCGGCTGGGAGTGGGACACGCCGACGGAGCCGGGAAGCGCGACGGAGCGGAGCAGCTCCGTGTCCACCATCGACACGGCCAGGCTGCTCCGGGCCTTTGGCCACCACAGGGTCACCCTGTCCCCCAGGGTGTCCCCCAGGGTGTCTCCCAGGCTTTCCCAGCTCTATTCCGCCATCGGCCTCCAGAAGAGCCGCTCGGAAAAGCGGGATGAGGGAAGCGGCGAAGCGGCGGGAGCGGAATATCCGAAGGTCGGCGCCGAGAGGCACAGGAGGGGGAAGGAGACCCAGGTATGGATCAGTTAAACTAAAATTCAGGTTTAAATAGTCCTCTAGTCTTAGTTTATTTGGGAATCCTGTAAAAATTCCCAGAGAGTGTCGTTTGTATGGAAAGCTGCTTCTCATCCAAGGAGCGCCAACAAATGTCTTCACTTTTCCAGGAATCAGGAAAAGCAAAATATCTTAAAATGACAATTGTGGGGGTTTTCCTCTTTGTCTTTCTTGGGTTTTTTTCCTCTTCCTTTATTTCCCGTGGGAAGCAAGATCCTGGTATCTGCTTCCTGATCCTGGATCTGCTTCCTCATCCTGGTAATCTACATCTTGATCCTGATATCTGCTTCCTGATCCTGGTGATCTGCTTCCTGATTCTGGTAATCTGCTTCCTAATCCTGGTAATCTACTTTCTGATCCTTGTAATCTTCCTGATCCTGGTAATCTTCCTGATCCTGGTAATCTTCCTGATCCTGGTAATCTGCTTCCTGATCCTGGATCTGCTTCCTGATCCTGATATATGCTTCTTGATCCTGGTAATCTAGTTTCTAATCCTGGTAATCTACTTCCTGATCCTGGTAATCTGCTTCCTTATCCTAATAATCTGCTTCCTGATCCTGTAAATCTGCTTCCTGATCCCTGATCCTGGGTCTGCTTCCTGATCCTGGTAATCTGTTTCCTAATCCTGGTAATCTGCTTCCTGATCCTGATATCTGCTTCCTGATCCTGATATCTGCTTCCTGATCCTGGATCTGCTTCCTGATCCTGGTAATCTGTTTCCTGATCCTGGTATGTGCTTCCTGATCCTGGATCTGCTTCCTGATCCTGATATCTGCTTCCTGATCCTGGATCTGCTTCCTGATCCTGGTAATCTAGTTCCTGATCCTGGTAATCTAGTTCCTGATCCTCGTAATCTGCTTCCTGATCCCTGATCCTGGATCTGCTTCCTGATCCTGGTAATCTTCTTCCTCATCCTGGTAATCTGTTTCCTGATCCTGGTAATCTGCTTCCTGATCCTGATATCTGCTTCCTGATCCCTGATCCTGGATCTGCTTCCAGGTCACCTGCAGCTCTGGGATTTAGCAATCCCAGGGATGCTGGTGTGGATTTGACTGGATATTGTTCCCGAAATATCTCTGGGCAAGGATAAATACAATTATTATTGGAATTTTCCGGCTGTTTGTCCAGTTTAAATGCTGGAATTCTTTGGAATTTTTGGGATTCTTTGGAATTTTTGAGATTCTTTGGAATTTTTGGGATTCTTTGGAATTTTTGGGATTCTTTGGAATTTTTGGAATTCTTTGGAATTTTTGAGATTCTTTGGAATTTTTGAGATTCTTTGAAATTTTTGGGATTCTTTGGAATTTTTGAGATTCTTTGGAATTTTTGGGATTATTTGGTCTGGCTGAGTGTTAGTGGTAAACTGCTTCAGTTTAATTAGTTTTAGACTTATTTAAAACCTGAGAATTCCAGGTGAAAACTGGAATTTTAAAGGAGAGAAAAGAATTCCTTCATTGAATTTGGCCATTGCCATTGGGAGGAGGACTGAAAATATCCTTAAAGAGGGATTTGACGTGGATTTGGTGTAAAAATTCCAGAGTTTTGGGGTTCTGTAATAGCCTTTAATGCTAAAAAGTTCAGGAACAAATGAGAAATATGGAAATATTTCTTTATTTTTTTTTATTACCAGCAGAAAGTGGTTTTGTCATCATTATTAGTAGCTTGAATTGAAATGAATTATTCCATTTTTCTAGGAATAAAATAGGAATAAAAGCTCAAAGTCTGGGTGGTAAATGATGAAAACGATTTGAAAATAATTTGGAATGCAAATAAATGAAAAAATAACGCAAATACTTAAATTTTTCCAGGTGAAAAAAATGCTTTAAAAATATTTGAATTAATATTTTTATGACATTTATTTAAAGGTAAAAATAAAGCTGGCCTAATTAATATTTTTATTTATGACATTTATCTAAAGGTAAAATAAAACTATCTTAATTAATATTTGTATTTATAACATTTACTTAAAGGTAAAATGAAACTGCCCTAATGAATATTTTTATTTAGGACATTTATTTAAAGGTAAAATAAAAATACCCTAAACTTTGCAGCCTTAAGACCATTCACACTGACCATCCAACAATTAAATTATCCAACATTTCTGACCTGATTATAATATTCAGGAAATTATTTCATTCCACTCCACACTCCATTCATAAAATTAATATTTCAAGGTCTGTTTGCACCTTAAACCTAAATCTGATCTTTTTCTTGTGAGAAAATAAATTGAATTTATACTTCAAAAATAAAGGCTCATTAAAGGGCATTGAACCCCCATGGCCTTAAAAACTCAGATTTTTGTTATCTCCTGATGTAAAATTAGTTTAAAAAAATCCCTATAAAGACACACATGGCTCAGGAGTGAGAGAAAATATAAGAAAAAATAAGAAAAAATAAGAAAAATAAGAAAAAAGTAAGAAAAATAGGAAAAAAATAAGAGGAAAAAATAAGGAGTGAGAGAAAATAGATGGAAACCCAGCGAATTTAATTTAAAATGCAAATTTTTCTCATTTCTCTGCCGCTTGGCTGGAAAAAAAATCGAATTTTATTCGTATTTTTAGCTGCAAATCTTTGTGTTTTGGAGGCAGAGAAGCTTTCCCTGCTCCCAGAGAAATTCCTGCACCAGTTTTTTAGGGAATTGCTGCATTTTGGAACTGAGTTTTTTGTTTTTGGTTTGTTTTTGGGGTTTTTTTTTTGACAGCCCATTGTCAGCTTTGCTTTTTTTATTTATTTATAGCAGGCAAAGGCAGCCCAGAAGGTTTTTATCTCTCCCAGTTTCTGCCATCTGGTAGCAGGTCCAGAGCTAAAGGTTGTGCTGAAATCATGGAATATTCTCCTCCAAACGGGAATATTCCTTTCAATATTCAGGATTTAATGGCTGCAGGTAAATGGGATATTTGGGATTTTCTTTCTCCCTTTTTTTTTTTCCTCCTTTTTTTTTTTTCCTTTTAGAAAATATTCAATTTTGGTTTTATTTTATAAAAAAAATAATCCATATCCAAGACGTGTCTGGTGCATCTCCCAGAGCTGGGATTGTTTTATGGAATTTTAAATCCTCCAGATTTATTGGAGGAAAAATTTAGGAGATTTCAAAAAAAAAATCCAGGTTTATGAGAGTAAAAATGTAGGAAATTTCAAAAAAATCCGGGTTTATGAGAGTAAAAATTGAGGAAATTTCAAAAAAATCCTGGATTTAATAGGAATAAAAATTCATGAAATTAAAAAAATCCCTGGTTTATAGGAGTAAAAGTTTATGGAATTGAAAAAAATCCCGGATTTATAGGAGTAAAAATTTATGGAATTTAAAAAATCTCAGGTTTATAGGAGTGAAAATTTATGGACATTTAAAAAAAAACAGGTTTATGAGAGTAAAAATTAAGGAAATTTTAAAAAAATCCCAGATTTAATAGGAATAAAAATTCATGGAATTAAAAAAACCTCTGGTTTATAGGAGTAAAAAGTTATGAAATTTAAAAAAATCCAAAGTTTAGAGGAGTAAAAATTAATGAAATTAAAAAAAATCCAGGGTTTATAAAAGTAAAAATTTATGGAATTTAAAAAAATCCAAGGTTTATAGGAGTGAAAATTAATGAAATTAAAAAAAAATCCAGGGTTTATGGGGGTAAAAGTTTATGAAATTGAAAAAAAATAGGTTTGTAAGAGTGAAAATTTATGGCAACTAAAAAAAAACCCAACAGGTTTATGAGAGTGAAAATTTATGAAATTAAAAAAAATCCCGGATTTATGGGAGTAAAAAGTTATGAAATTTTAAAAAATCTCAAATTCATAGGAATAAAAGTTCATGAAATTAAAAAAATCCCTGGTTTATAGGAGTAAAAATTTATGGAATTTAAAAATCCCAGGTTTATAGGAGTGAAAATTTATGGAATTAAAAATCCCTCAGATTTATCGGAGTAAAAATTTAGAAAATTTCAAAAAAATCCAGGTTTATGAGAGTAAAAATTTAGGAAATTTTAAAAAAATCCCCAATTTAATAGGAATAAAAATTTCATGAAATTAAAAAAAATCCTGAATTTATAGGAGTAAAAATTTATGGAATTGAAAAAATCCCAGGTTTATAGGAGTAAAAATTTATGACACTAAAAAAATTGTGGGTTTATAGGAGTAAAAATTTATGAAATTGAAAAAATCCTGGGTTTTTAGGAGTAAAAATTTATGGAATTTAAAAAAATCTCAGGTTCATAGGAATAAAAATTTGTGACATTAAAAAAAATCCTGCGTTTATAGAAGTAAAAATTTATGGAATTAAAAAAATCTTGAGTTTATAGGAGTAAAAATTTATGAAATTGAAAAAATCTCAGGTTTATAGGAGTAAAAAATTGTGCAATTAAAAAAAGATCCCAGATTTATATGAGTAAAAATTTATGAAATTAAAAAAAAAACACCTGGGTTATATTGGAGTAAAAATTTGTGAAATTAAAAAAAAAAAACAGGTTTATGAGAGTAAAAATTTATGAAATTAAAAGAATCCCAGATTTATAGGAGTAAAAACTTATACAATTTAAAAAAAATGGGTTTATGAGAGTTAAAAATTTACAAAATTAAAAAAAAAAGGGTTTTTAGGGTCAGATTTGCCTCCTTTTAATATTGCAATAAAATGCTGTTTAGCATCGAAGTGGTCCCAGTAAAACCCCAATAAAAGGGGGATAAAGAACCCTCTGTTCCTTTCCATGGAATTAGGAATTACCCCCAGGATCCTAATGGGATCAAGTGGGAAAAAATTCAGTGCCATAACTAAAACTGAAGTTGGCTTTGAAGCCTGGGGAGTTGCTGCCAGTTAATTACTGTTAATTAATTAAACCCCGACCCTCTCCGTGATTTATGGACCGGAAAGTTTGGCCACCAAATTCCTGCTTTTTTGAAACGGCTTTATTAATTAGAATTAATTCATTTTATCCATTTCACCTCTCTGCTTTCCCTGAGGTTTGAAGGTGTGAAATTCCTGTTTGGCCTCAGCCCTGCTCATTCCACGCTCCTGTTATTCCATGGATTTTTTGGGTTTGATTTTCCCCCACCTTGGAGAACTTGAGAGGGTGGAACTTGTTTCATAAAAACACAGAAACCCTTTCAAAACATGGAATGTTTGGATGCCAACGATCCAGAACTGGAATTCGTTGGGAATTTACAAAGCTACCCTTGGATCTTCCAAGGCAGTTTGTCCCTTTGGAAAAACCTGGCAACCTTGGGAAGGCCTTTGGTTGGAGAGGCCACGGATCCAGGATTCAGTTCAGGTGTTTGTTCTCCCTCTTTCCAAAGCAGGAATATTCCATGGAAGTGCAACAAGTGGTTTGGCCACAGCGAAGGGGTTTTGTTCATCTGTTGTCCCGTTGACTTTGGACATGGAATCCTGGAATGGTTTGGGTTGGAAAGGACCTTAAAGATCATCTTGTTCCACCCCCTGTCATGGGCAGGGACACCTTCCACCATCCCAGGTTGCTCCAACCTGGCCTTGGACACTTCCAGAGATCAGGGGCAGCGCACGGAGGGCTTTCTTGGCACCAACCTGTGCGAGGGCATCCCCACTCTCCAGCAGGAATATGCCTCTTTGCACACACTATCCGCATCTATAATATTATATATATATTTATATATTTACAATATGTATTTAATAGATTTGATACAAAACCACTGCCAAAAATATTTATATATCTATTTATATATTTACAATATATATTTAATCAATAAATTTGGTACAGACCCACTGGCACTGCTGTGGTTTAAAGCCACAAGTGGCACCTGAGCCCTGCTGGCTCCATCCCAGTGGGATTTGGGACAGAGTGGGAAGGGTAGAAGTGAGGGAACCATTGGATTGAGATCCAGGCAGTTTAACAGGGAAAGGAAAAACCACATAAGCAAAACAAGGGATTCACTCCCCAGTTCCAGAATCCTGGAATGGTTTGAGTTGGAAGGGATCCCAAATATAATCTTGTTCCACCCCCTGCCATGGGCAGGGACACCTTCCACTATCCAACATTGCTCCATCCTGGCCTTGGACACTTCCAGGGATCCAGGGGCAGCCACAGCTTCTCTGCCCAACCTGGACCAGGGCCTCCCCACCCTCCCAGCCAGGAATTCCTTCCCAAATCCCATCTCAATCTCCCCTTTTCCACTATGAAGCCATTCCCTGTGTCCTGTCCCTCCACCCCTTGTCCCAGTCCCTCTCCAGCTCTCCTGGAGCCCCTTCAGGCCCTGGAAGGTTTCCCTGGAGCCTTCTCTTCTCCAGACACAACATCCCATATGAGTTGGAGGATCTCAGCACTCGGAGTCTGATCCCAGGCAGGCTCTTCCCTCCAAGAAATAACATCCTTTTCCCTATAAAATGGGCTGCTGGAAGTGCCTTGGTGCACGAGGATGAATCCAAGGCTGGCACAGCAGAAGGAGCCCCTGATCAACACCTGGATACCAACAGGATCAGCCACAACAAGGAAAAAAAAACACGACCATCGCTTTTTTTTTGCTGTTTAAAACTCACTTTCTGATCCTTTGGGTTGGAATTTCAGGAATTTCCCATCTCTTTCCTCTGGTTTTCCTAGAGCACCATCACCTTCTCCTCGGATTCCACCTGGGCCAGCAGCACCTCTTGGGGTCCCAGCTCTGCCCTCAGCACCAAGAGACGGATCCGGATGTTGAACAAAGGGATCCAGGCAGGTGAGTCCCTGAATTCCCAAATTCCCAGACTTTGGCCAGGTTTTCCTCCTGCCCTTCCTCTCTTTGGAAAACCACTCTCCAAAGTCTGGATGTTTCTGGGGATGGGTCTGTACAAGCAGCACCCTTCAAATTCCCTTTTATTTTAAATTTGCACATATAATCCTTTCTCTAAACTGTTTATTTTCCATCCTTGCTGTGCTTTAATACCCAATTTTCTCACTTTTAAACTCATTAACCTCAGCTTTGGAGCCATTTCAACAACAAAGGTGAACCAACTGTCTGTTTTAAATATTGGTTTTTTTTTTTCCTCAAGACTTCTGTTGCTCCCAGAATGGGTTTTGCTATTTCAGTGTTCCATGTTCTTCCTGCTAATATTTGGGATGGTAAATTCTATTTAAAGCTGATCCTGGCCCTGTGCAGTTCTGCATTTGGGGGTGGGTTATTTTTGGTGCCAATTATCAGTTTCTTCACTGCTTTCATTTACACACCAACTCTCCATCATCACATTGAGGCATGGCCTTGTTTTATTCATCAAATGTATCAGCTATTTATTTTTTACTGTCTTTTTTTCCCCCCTCTTTGCAAGTGGATTGAATCAGAAAAATATTTTCAAGGGCCATAGTTTGGATTGAAT